ATACACCCCCCAACTCACCCCCAGCTTGTCCTCTCCTCTCACCTGCTCCCTCTGTGTCCCCCGGCGCAGGATTTATACGTCACCGGCTCCAACTTCTAGGTGACTGTCTCTAGAGCTAAATAAACAAAGCAGCGGCCATTTTCTTGAAGATCAACGGTCTCCGAAAACATGGCGGCCCACGAAGTACTACATGGCAGTGACCAGCAGAGGGCGCTGGTAGACGGTTAGAGAATGGTGCTGTAATACAGTAGAACAGCAGGGGGCGCTGGTAGACGGTTAGTGCGGTAGAGAGCTCAGCGGACGGTGCTGTGATACAGTGGAACAGCAGGGGGCGCTGCCGCCTATGGTAGCATACAATAGGAAAGGGTCATGTGCAAACAGGTTGCTATGGAGGCAGATGATAACAGTTCAGTTTATTTCATCCATCATTCAGTTTATAGACATGTCCCCAAAACTGTCCCTGATCCCCTGGGACTGTCCCAGTATTTCACAGAATCATGCAGTGCTGCCAGTCCAAGACTTGCTTATTCATAGACATGAATAGAGGGGCTGCATGCCAAATTGTCCAATAATTTACTTTACTCTATTATTATTATTCAGGATTTATATAGTGCCAACAGCTTGTGTAGTGCTTTACAATAGAAAAGGAGACAATTCAGTTACAATGCAATTCAGAATATGAGGGTTAGGAGTGCTGTGCATGTGAGAGGTTACTTATATGGTGGACAGCTTGGCCTGATGACTGCCCATTCACTTCTAGGTTGGGCAGCTGGGCCCGGTGACTGCACATTCCCTTTTATGATGGGCAACTTGGTCCGGTGACTGCCCATCCCTGTCTATGTTGGGCAGCTTGGCCCGATGACTGCCCATTCACTTCTATATTGGGCAGCTTGGCCCGGTGACTGTCCATTCACTTCTATATTGGGCAGCTTGGCCCGGTGACTGTCCATTCACTTCTATATTGGGCAGCTTGGCCCGGTGACTGTCCATTCACTTCTATATTGGGCAGCTTGGCCCGGTGACTGTACATTCCCTTCTATGATGGGCAGCTTGGCCCGGTGACTGCACATTCCCTTCTATGTTGGGCAGCTTGGCCCGGTGACTGCCCATTCACTTCTATGTTGGGCAGCTTGGCCCGGTGACTGCCCATTCACTTCTATGTGCGGCAGTAATACCACCAATAAATGAATTACTTCCTGCTGCAGGAGCAGCCGGATGTTTGGGCTGGTGATCCAGCCAGACAGTTTGGACATACAAAGATTGGGTTGAACCCTACATTGGTCCAAACCCAATGTAGGGTTTGGACCAATTTAGGGCACCACAAGGGGGGTGTAGGGGGTGTGGCCGCACTCAGGTGACACCATTGGAGGGGTGACACCAAAATGACTGACAGTCATTTTGGTGTCACACCCTCTGAAAAGTTGGACACTCGGTCATGGACCGAGAGCACGACAGTTTCGGAAGAGAGGAGGGGACCCGGCGGCATACCTCATCCCGACGGTGACTGTCCCCTTCCCTCTCTGCCGGCGTCTATCAACAAGATGGCCGCCGGCAGATATCAATAAGATCGCCGCGCATGTGTGATGATGTCACAACAGGATGTCACCCGGCAACCGCTCCGGGTGACACCCGGCCTCAGGATGCCCCTGCCTAGGTAGAATAAAGGTGGGAGGAAGGAGATGAGGACAGGGGAGGAGATGAGGAGAGGCCTGCATTCTTTGTATCCATCAGAAATTAAGTAGGCAGGGCTGACACCGTGTGCTTAGGAATTTAGAGCTCTGTTGTCACATCAAATAGGAAGTTAGAAGCACACTACATTTCTGGCACATCACCAGGTATTTTTTTGTTGTACTTGTTGGGTCTTTAAAGAATTAAAACATGGGGAAATGTGCAAGGGTTGCAGAGATGTACTCATTTTTTTTTTTTGCCTTGACACATGCTTTAACCCCTTCATGACTGAGCTAGTTTTCAGTGTCTGTTCATAAATGACTGACACACTTTTTACATTGTTGCTGTGTGATTCTTCCACAGCAGTAATATACTTTCTTACTAAATGTACCCACTCATATGATATATTGTTTTTTAGAGGACAGATGGGGCTATATACCGTGTTTCCCCGAAAATAAGACACTGTCTTATATTTTTTTTGCCCCCAAAAAACACACTAGGTCTTATTTTCAGGGGATGTCTCATTTTTTTTTTGTTACTGTGCAACAAAATGTACAACAATCCAAAGTTATCTGGTATCACTCCGCCTGTCACAGTAACTGGCGCTATAGAGGAAGTATCTGCTAATGCGACTCTGCTCCCTCCGCCGCCGCAGCCTTGCTTTCTACAGCGCCGGCTTCCTTTGCCATCAGGGACAGTGGTACCAGCGGTGCAGCAGTGGGGACATCAGACAGTGGACAGCGTGGTAAAGTACGGTACCATTTACCGGTACACATTACAGTACGGTACCATTACATTTAGCAGTGCCTTCATGGATACAGCAGTTGGTGAAGTATGGTACTGGAGTGCTCCCTGTCACTGCACTGGCCGGGGGGAGTCCCCTGTCATCCCCTTAATACAGTATGTCCCTGCAGGCTGATACCATCTCTCCTGCAAGTTCCCCCTCACATGCTACCACCAAACTAGGTCTTATTTTCGGGGTAGGTCTTATATTACAGGAACCTTGAAAAATAGTGCTAGGTCTTACTTTCGGGGTAGGTCTTATTTTTGGGGAAACAGGGTAATTATATCAAACGTGTACCTAACGCCTCACCTAGTTTGAATCAAATATTATCCCGTATTTGCATGTAACGGCTTCATTCTTTCATTAATGAAAGGAAGAAGCTTTTACAAAAGCTTAACTATTTCATCAATGAATGCCTCAATACTGACCCATCCATTAATGACTGGTAACCGCTGAGAATCAGCAGTTACCGGCATTACAGAGCCTGATATAACTCGTCACGTACAGTGTCCGTGGCCAGTCATATAGGCACAAAGTGCCGGGACGTACACTGTACGTCTCCCGTCACAAAGGGGTTAATACCAAACTAAAATGGGTGTATTTATAGAAAACAATTGCAGAGCCATTAGTCCTTTAAAACTTCGTATACACCTGATGTAAAATCAGAAAAATGCCACATTATGGCCACTAGATGGCGTTGGGGAGCACTGGGAACTTCTTATGCTCCTCAGCTCCATCCAGTGGCCATAGTGTGGTATTTACCTGGCTGAAAATAAACGGTACTAAGAATGTTTGTTTTTGCCTCCATCCACTCAGAATGAACGTACACAGAGTTGTGCAGGTCTAATAGCTCTGAATTTTTTTTTTTTTTATAAATACGCGCCAAACCCTAATCTATTTTCGTTATGCTTGGCATCATGCATGTCTCACTCTATATATGTGTTTCTTAAGCACATATTGCTTTTGTGAATCTGATGGTTACCTGGAGATCTGCCAGTATCAGCACTTCCTAATGCAGGCTGACAACACTGCACCCCTGCCTGGCAATTAGGAGCAGTGTTGTCAGAATGCCTTGTGAGCCCCAGCAGTTGGCTGTTGGGCTGCCTATCAGGCCTATCGTATTTAATGTAAAATAAGAAAACACACAGCGGTTTGAAGACACTTTTATTGCCATTTTTTTGATCGTGGATCCCTTTGCAGTTCTGATGGACTCATCGCTTTCTCATTCAGTTCGAGCATCTGTGGAAATAAAAGGACAACATTTAAGAGGTGAAAGAATGTGGTTTGTGCGCTGCCCCATCCCAGACAACTCTGTCTGTTCATCCCTTGTGCAGGCACTCCCTGGCCCGGGGCTTAGGTACACAGTAACTAAGGACTAGGAAAATGCATCTGAAAAAATGTCCCCTTGACCCTAGCCAGCATGGGGGGACTACATAGGTCAAGGGTAGTGATGAGCCTGGCTTTGGGGCGAACCCACTTCACCTGAGTTCACCCAAACCCGATCATCAGTGGTGGTCACCTGGTGGTGGTCATTGCCCTCACTGATTGTCACCCTGGCTGCCACCTCCTCAAAATCAGCACCATACCTATATTCCTGGCAGTGGCAGGAAGGCACACGGTGGTGTGGCAGGTGGAAGGAGCTACTTCGGTTCAAGGGGGTGGGAAAAATTGTAATCAAACTTTGTTTAAAGGAGAACTATGAGGGGGGTGCTTTTCACTCACCTCATAGTTCTAGGCAACCTGTGACAATGAGACTGTCACAGGTCGGCTCAGTAGATCGGGAGGTGAGCGAACACATGCCGGTGTTCGCTCACTTCTCGATCCTGTCACAGCTCTCTGCCGTGACAGGGGAGGGGCTAGATTCCCCTCTCCGATCTGCCAGCGCTGACTGGCGGAACGGACGGGGGAGGGGGCGGGTACAACTGGCTCTGCCTCTAGATAGGCAGAGCCAGCTGTCACTCACGCAGCTGGGCGGATCTCGACATCGATGTCGGGATCCGCTCCGGCTGCGGGGGCTCAGTATACCGCAAGCTGTAGCTCGCGGTATACTGAGCTTAGGGTGACGGGAGGACGCTAATTTGTGTCCTCCCGTTACCCTAAGGAGAACTATGGGGAAAAGCCCTGACCCCATAGTTGTCCTTTAAGAGTCTTCTTGCGCTTCAAACTCAGATAGGAAATATTGCGTCACCCTCCTGGCTTTGCAGTTTAGCAGAGGTGTGTGAAGCACAAAGGTGGGCAGACAGAATTACAAACCATTTGGCGGATTCACATCTGTGTCTGTTTTGTGGTTTGCCTGAAATTCAGCTCTAAAAGAATGAATTTGCCACATTTTCTAAGCTTTACAACCATGCTTATATCTGAAACAACAACTCACCACGTGGTCCATCTTACCTATAAGCAATGCCGTTGTCACCCTTCCATAGGTACCCGTATTTTGCAAATTGGATTGCCCTGCCGTGAACTATGATGGAGCGATCGCTCGGTATAAGGAAATTCATGGCGATCAGCTGGTTATCAGATATGATGGTCATATGAATATCTCCTTGCGAAGGAATATTTATGGATTCCCGGGGAGGACATCGGATGAACTGGATCCTGCTGTCCGGCTTTAGAATAATCTCGATATTTTCTCCGGCATTCAGGAGGGCTTCGACAGATTTGGCCACATTTACTCCGGCTTCGGT